AGACCTGAGAAAGAGTGGGAATATCAGTATCATTTCTGGTTCACACTATTTGAGGATATTGTCCCTTTATCCTTATTTGCACTTTAGCATCCAGAGCTTAGAGGTGTCCTGAAATTGCCAGGAGGCAGAGAGACTCTGATCCTTTCTGATCCATCCTTTCATCCAACAAAGGGTCAGGGGGTGTCTACTAGGTTCCAGGCACTCCCTAGGGCATCAAGAATGTGACGGTGAACACATTAGGGGAACCCCTGCCTGTGGAGCTCACAGGCTACTGCAGAACACTGGCTTCAAATGTGACACACGAGTAAGGAAGGTGCCTCCAGACCATGATGCACACCAACAGAATGAGTGAGTCCAACAGCAACTGGCAGGGCCGAGGACAGAAGGACAAGTCTCCAGGTGGGACGGGTCAACCCTGGCTAATGAGACAGCATCTGATCTGAGAGTCACAGGGTGGAAAAGAGTCAGCCATGCAAACATTCATTCCAAGCAGCAAAGACTGCGAGTTCAAAGGCCCTGAGACAGGAACAGGTGTGATTTATTTGAGGAACAAAAGGAAGCCAAATGACCTAAAAGTCAATTAAGGAGGGGTGGGGATAAAGAGATAAAGAGGTGCAAAAAAACAATGGCATTGGCCTCTTTCTACCTGAGAAGAAAGTAAAGCCCAAGGAGGGCAAATAAGCAGCCCAAAGTCACACAGCTAATTTCTGCTACAGCTGGTTGTAGAACCTAATTCTTCTGCCTTGCCTGCCTCAATCCCTGGGAAAACTTTTTAGTTTTAAAAGCTCAATACAGTTATGGCCAGGCATAGTGATGTATGCCTGTAAAGCCAGCCCTTGGGAGGCTGAGGCAGGAGGATCACCATGAGTTCAAGGCCAGCTTGAATGACACAGCAAGACCTTATCTCAAAAAAAAAGATGATGATGAATAAAAGTTCTTAACATACACAAGCAGGACCCAATCTCAATTTTAAGCAGAACATCATGACTAAGTGATCCTAGTGACTGGAAATGTACATGAATTCTACTCTGAAATCTAGGGCTTTGTGCCCACCCACCTTTATGTAGGTCCCACCCTGAGAGCAACCCTTCGTGAAGGATTGAGTTAGTGGCTGTGGGGACAGAGCCAGAGCTCACCAGAGACTAATCGTGTTCTATTTAGATTTTACTTTTGCATCCCCACCTCTTGACACTGCTTTGTTTAATTCGCCCAAGAGAAATCAAAACCCATCTGTTCTCAGCCCACCATCATTTGGTGCTATTAAGTTGTCAGATAATGGGGCTTTAAGCAAAACACCATAATTACCACTTCCTTCCACAACTCATGAGCACCTCCACCTGAGGGTCCAAGTTTGCGATCAACCTGTGTCCCTGTGATGGGAACCGTCCCTCTACTTTGCCTTTCTAACGCCAGCTTTCCCTTCTTCCCCGCCCTGTTAAACACACTTGGTGTGCAGATCTGAGCCTCCACAAGACAAAACCCCAGGTCTGTCCAGGGGCCAGTGGCTGGGCCACAAATGGACCAGAGAAGATGCTCCTGATGCTGCCAAGGATGCTGCCTCATCCTTCCCCTCCTCCAGCACTGTCTACTCTTCCTTCTTCTCCTCCCCACCCAGCCCCTCTGCCTTTTCCTTCTGTCTCTTCTTTTCCTTCCTCCTAGCAAGCTTTTCTAGTCCCTGAGCTTTGGCAAGAGTCAGAGTCCTGATAATTTAACAGTAGAAGAGAGTATTAGAGCCCAGATTCTACTCCAGTACCATCACCTACTAGCTGGGCAGTCTTGGCATGTTATGGAGCCTCTCTGTTCCTTACCTGCGAAATTAGGATGATACCATTCTCCTAAGATTTTAGGGAAGATTAAATATATTAGCACACACAAAAAAAGCATTAGACCAGTGTCCAGCACGTAACTCTACGGGGATGTGAAATATGCTACCCTTTCTCCTCGCCCTCGTCTTCCCTCCATCCCCCAGCTAGGAAAGACTATTGTCACCTCTGTCTTTAAGAACAACATCAGTGGTCATCCTGCCTTCAGATCTGTTTCTCCAACTTTGATATCGTGATGTTCAGTCTGTGGTCATTTCAGGGAAGAATGATAATCCTAGCCAGACTCTCTGGACTTTCCCAGTTGGCTGAACCTAGGTTGGCATGGAAAGACGTGGGTGAGGAGCTACTTTCCGTCTCCACTGTCCCTTTGGGGCAGGGTGGCTTGGGGGCCCCATGGAGCCAGCCCTAGTTCAAGAAGCAGAGCCCCACACTGCCGAGGGCCTCTTTGGCTATGGCACCTCAACTAGCAACGCGTGTGCTCCCCACCAAGTTTGCCACCACCTACCCCCATCTGGGTCCACCAGGGACTCGCCTGAGCACAAGCAAAC